CCAGGAAAGCCTCGAACAGTCGCAGCATGCAGACGTCCGCCCACTCATACACCACATACTGGTACCTCTCCCGCTCCTGCTGGCTCTCACAACCGTACTTCAGGGTGCGGATGTACCTGAAAACAGCAAAGGATTTAAGACTTCCATTAAGTACTGGCAATAATTGCAATCCTCGGCCTCCTGAATGCCCCCATTGACCTCTAGTAATTCTGCCTGCCAATCTTTCCCAACCCACATGCTGTCCACCTACTCTGTCTGGACAAACATACACTCAGCCACCCGAATAACACTTCTGTATTTCTAAAAAAATACACTCCATATACTGCACACAGAGGTAAAAAATGATGAGTCAACTATTGGCAGGGTTCATTTATATCAGCCTATAGCGTATAGTCATTTCATCACATGTTATGATGTAATCACTATAATAAAACTGCAATGCATGTATTTTGCCCATAGAAAATTTAGATCTAAGGCATTCCAAAATTTCTAAATTCTAACACACATAGCATGAATTTACACATGCATAATTAATATCCTGTACCAACTAATGATGTACTAGCTTAAGGTCATGAGAAATGACCTTGCAACATTCAGCAGAATGTATCCAACTGCCATTGATTCAATAAGTAACTTATTGCTTGCCATTGATACATTCTGGTTCATTCCCAGCCATTTTGTTTGCATGTGTTTTTTTTTTGTGTAACCATGTGGGTCTAAAAATGTACATGTACCATATTGGCAAGAAAGGGTCTCTATGGTACCAAAAACTTAGTGAGTTTATGAGATCATAGACAGTCAGCAAGGCTCCCCTTCATACATGTATTTGCAAATAGATCATAGAGCCAGCAAATGCAACAAAACCACACATTTTCATCTCTAACACCATAAGATGCAAGTCTTGCACTCAAGACTATGAGGCTGTAGCAGCTTAACCAGAAATATGGCACTATTTTGCTACAATGTTTTAGTAACAAGGCTCAGGAGTACACATAGGTCACCCTTGTATTTGTTCGACCCACACTTTGTCACTAGGCAAATACACTTGCTGGTTCCTGTGACATGGTGCCAAGTCCACCCAAGGTTTCTCCTTGCAGCAAAAACAAGACCCTGCAAGAACTGGATCAATACTGTAATGTAATAACTTAATAAGCTGTGGTCATAATCAGCTATTAGTTCTTTTGTGAGTGCTGTTTGCACTTGTAGCAGATCAATCCTAACACAATTAAAGTATGTAGCTCTTACACATCATCAGCACATTTTTCTGAGTCTGATGGTTTAGCTGTTTTCCAACATAGCTTGGTCAACAAAAAGAGGTCTTTGTGGGCGAGTGTTTACTCAGTAAAGCTGTTGCAATCAAGTGTGAAAACCAAGCACGAAATATGGTAATTTACTTCTTACTCGGGACTCCATTTCATGGGAAAGGCAGAGGAAAAACGCTGCATTAACAATTTCAGTAAAAATATGGGGTCTCTAGC